ATTAATACTATTTTTATGTATACATTAGGGGCAAGAGTTAAAAAGGTAATAACGCATCCAACTGAACCTTCATGGATAATATCAGCCGTACAAGGAAACAATGAAATTTCCATGTGGAATTTAGAAACAGGTTTCAGACAGATGGTACTTTGGGCATCAAGTGCACCACCGCTTAGTCATAGTCAAAGTGGTTACAGCGTTCATTCAATGTATTCAGGATGCATTGATCGCTCTGGTTTCTTATTAGCTGGTGGAACTGACATGCGATTACGTTTTTGGGATTTAAACACACCCAATGATTCTCATGTTGCATTACCTGCTGCCAATGACGTTGTTCCACCAAATTCATACGCATATGAGTAAGTGTATCCTTATATTAAATAATTCTATTTTCTGTTGTAAAAAATAATTTTATATTTGAGATAATATCTTTGTCAATCTAATTGTTTACAGGCAACGCTTGATAGACGGTACAAATGTAGTTCAAGAAGTATTGGCAGGTGGTTGTTCTATACCCTCGTCAGGAGGTAATAGTGGTGTTAGAGGAAGAAATCCAGAAGAAGATGGACAAGGACCAGAAACTCCGCCATCTGGTCACCATGATACCATATCTGCCGTATCCATGTCTAATACGTGTATACTCACAGGCAGCAAAGATGGATTAATTCAAGTTTGGAAATGATTGTTTTCCTTATATCATTTACTCTATACATCATTCGTTCAAGCTTTTGTAAACTATGGTTTACTTTGTGCAAGATTCTTGTCGCATAAAATATTTGTACATTTACAAATAATTGAACATCGACATTTCGTAGATACAAGACTCCTATGGTAATATTTCTGTGATTCTAAATTGTATATATTCATATTTATATACACATAAATTAATCTATATATATATATATATAAAGTATATATATATATACTTTCTATTAATTAAAAATAGTCATGGGGTAAACACTAATTTACGGAAGAAAAACAACAAATCGTTGAAGCGTAGAAATTCAAGGATGCATTACGTAATGCAGTTTCAAAAAGAAAAAAAAAAAATATATAAAAAAAAACCTACCGTATTTTAAGACGATAATATTTCATACATACTGTAAATAATTTATTTTTGTACGTTACATAAGTACATACTCGATAATAGAGAGTATTCCAATACGATTAAATGATACGTGATCGATAACATCCACACGTATGACTGGAGAACTGGTTTCTTATTGGAATAAGGAAATCGATGAATGATGTACAAAGCTTTTCTTATTTTTATGCTTGCCTATTTTTTTGCATAATTAATACACATTCAAATACACGTGTACACATACACACGTCATGTGCACGACAGACAGGCGAACCGTGACTCTAGTATTAATGCTTATTTAGGACTAATGTCTATATCTGACTGAAATACTCTTTTAAATAGAGTTTAGAACATTATTATAATAAATTCATATTTTTAAAACTAACATTTTTGTTATTATTATTATTATTATACCTTTAATAATCATATTAATATTTTGGCACGGGTAACGAAACGGATTCGAAATATTATTTTACCATGGACACACTGGAGCAGCGGGGTAAGGTACTTGTCCTGGAAATGTATAGGGATCTCCATTTATAGTCCTGCAAATTTGCTTCCAACGTTCCTTCCCACCTCTTCCTTGGCGTTGCTTGTAACGTTGATTCAAATAATAATCAGATCTATGATCAGGATAAGTTTGTTGTTCTCCAAAAAGTAAATCCAACCATGGAGCGCAAATAACGTTGCCAATTAATAAGAAAAAGAGAAAGAAAGTTTTCATCTTTCCCGTTTATTTTGATTGATGCGCGTAAAAGAAAAATCAAACTTCTTGTTAATTTTTTTTTTCTTTTTAAAATTAATTACTGCTCCAATTTATGCACTATACTGTTTTCACTTCGATAATTTCGAGACACTATCGACCTAAAATATATATATATATATATATGCACAAACTTTATTACTATAAATGATTGTTTCTCGACTTAATAAATTAAATGAAAATCTAGGAGAACGATTATTACTCTTCTAGTCGGGAAAGTGGATATGCTAGGAATAAATAACGCATGTCAAAACGCGGCATATTACATCACGTACTTGACGCTCTCCTTTGTGACTTTCAAATTTCACACTTTCTGAGCATTATATATAATCAGCTATGCTATCTCTCCTTTTTCTTTCCTGTTATTTATACATATAATACATATAGATATATATATTATTTAAAAAAGTAAAGCTGACCTGATATCAATGAACTTTTTATTTCAAATATCTCCCCAATTATTGTGATGCACGGTACATTTAACACATAATCAATTCTTCTTTATCTTGTTTTATTCAAAAAGATTATTTATCCTCGAGGAAATATTTTCTATTTGAAAAAGTATTAGAACTTGTACGTTATAAGAAATACACTTTCGTAATGAAGAGATGCTGGATGCTTACAGTTCTTTTATATACACCAACAACACGCCCTACTCGTTCAGAAAAATCGTGACGATTAATACTTGCGAATAAGATTCTACGAAGTTTAACGACGAATTCATATTTGACAATGAGATTAGTTTGCCTAGCAAATTTAGAACACGATTCCTAATATATAAAAAAAAAAAAAAGGTTTCCTTAAAAAGAAGGAAAAGAAAGATTATTTTTATCAGCTGACTCCCACTTGATATTCTATACGAGTAAATATAACATGATGAAAAGGAAAAAAGAAAAATAAAGGGGGATATTTCTCGTCGCATTGAACTTGGAAAGAACCGGGAGAATTTTCTGACCATTGTTGTTGTTCGAAGTCATTTTGATTCAATAAACGTATGCTATTAAAATATCTTTTCGTATTCTACATGCGTATAAACATCATTTAAAGAAATAATGAGGACGATTTACTGATTTAATTACTATTACTCATATCGTTTCCTACAATTTGTCAAATTATCGATCCAAAGCAAATTTTATGTTTAAAAGGAAAGAAAGCCAAAGCAATTTTTATCATTTTTTTAGTCTTATTTTCATTTAATATGTTAATTTTAATTTGTACAATTTTGTAATATAGAAATGCGAAACAGATTTGAAAACTTGTTAAACGATTTTTAAAAAAAGGAACCCCTCAAACTCGTAAAAGAACGAATAATTAAAGGTATTTAATTATTTTTAACTTCATTATTTTAAAAGAAATTAAATTAATTCAAATATCATAATATGAAATAACAATCTTAACATTCCACATATAAATGGGTTATACAATATGTTTTTTTTTTTAGCTTTTATGTAGTACTACTCAAGTTATTACGAGAAGGCACTGTATGCGACCTATATAATTTCATTCATAAGACTTCAACGATAAATATATAATTCTCATCCTTGTGGTTTTTATCTTTCACACGCACCAACGAAATTGATAACTGTTTTACATTGAAATATAGTGTGAAGGATGACCTATAACGATATTATGCACGTGTTTATGCGTTATGATTGGATCTTGAACAATTCGATCTTTTTTTATTCTTTTTTTTATACTACTTATTTCTGTTTGGTATATGCATTACAATCAAACGATTTGTTATTTGACAATTAACTGCAGGTAATAATCAATTTGTTATTGGCAATTAAATAATAAATAAAAATGAAAATAATGAATGTGCAAAAATTTAATTAAAAATTTAATTTAATGTTAAATAAATATTTCATGTGAAATGATTATGCTATTCGTCCAAAAATTGTTTACATGTCGAGTACGAACCACTTCTTGTAAATTTGAAGACCCTAAGTAGCAACAGTTTGCATCAATAAAATATCCAAGTAATTTATAGCAAGCTAATCTTGCAACTAGCACTATCATTTCCTATTACCGTAATAGCTAGTTTCCAGGCTACTAGACTATTAATAGCATTTGGCAGAGAAAGTCTGTTCTTACGTTTAATCCGAACCAGTTCGCCGCAATTTGATTTTCTATAATTCGGTAACAAGTTTATATTTATTGGGAAAATATTTGCCCAATCGTATGAATCATCATAGATTATGATACTAAGCTAACAAAGATGAACTTCGACCATTGATAAGAATAACTGGTCACGGTCATTCTTTGTAGAAATGAAGAAAAAAATTAAAATTTATCATAATTATTTCAAGAACGAGATTTATCTCTCCTGTATCGAAATGCGTAGAAAATGTGAATTAAATGTAACAAAGAAATTTGCTTCATCCCCTCATCAACAACTTATTTGTATTCCTAACGAATAATTCATTGCACCTGGGAATATCAATTGGTCGCTACGTTCATTTCTAATAAAGTAACATTTATATAAGATTGTCAAGAAGTTTATTAAAAAGATATATAAAAATGATAAAAATTAACATTAAAAATTTAGGAAAACAAAAAAGTCTATATAAATGTAATCTTTAAAAATTTCAAATATATTTTCTTGAAATAGAAAATTAAAAGGAAAACGATTTGAAGTTATTAATCAGATTTTAAGACAGAAAAAAAACATAATAATATTAAAAATTAGGAAAATTGTAAATATCCTTTTTTAATAAACATTTCTCGTGGCAGTGTGCCTATTTGAATATCAAAGCATATAGTTTAAAATCTTAACAGAGAGAAAGAGAGAGAGTAGTAGCACGGTCACGACGAATCGTCTAAATATTTTCATGACTGCTTTTCCCCGAAAACGCTTCTCATACCCGAGACATGAAGGGTCATCGGTGCCCACGTGCGTCAGTTCCGTTCAGTTTCGCGATTGAGATGGTTTCTGCACTTTCCTGTTTTCTGCGGTCGACTTATTTTAACGAATCAACGATTCTTTTGTAATGCGACATCACCGTATTTTGGAATACCGCCAAGTCAAATGTAAATTTTAAACGAAATAGACGCGATCCTTTAACAAAACTGATCAAACGATTATTATTGTTTATTTTAATTATTTAAATTCAATAATTTCGATATGTTTTAATATTACGAAGTAAAGTTCGGAAACGATCAAAAATTACCAAATGAATTTCCTATTATTTTTTTTTTAATTTGTATCCTAAATTTGGACCATGTTATTTTTATATATAATTATGATAATTAACTGGGAGAAAATTAATTGAAAAAAGGATTATGTCGTGCAATAGTAATCTAACTAATCAAGACAGAATGGAAGTTCCGCGTCGTCCTAGCTTGTCAATGAAGATGCAACGTAGTTTGACAAAAGTTAAAAAGAGTATTCAAAGAATAACTGGTATGATAAATAAATGAAATTAACACGTTCGTTTCCTAACGTCACATATGTATGATGTGACGGTTTATTTTAAGAAAATCCCCCTCGAAAATTATTATAATATTATAATATTATTTATTAATTATGACATCAGAAAAGAAAAAAAATTAGCTGTTTTTATAATAATTTAATTTATCACGTATATATGTTTTAAAGACTACTTAATATATTTTATATGCATATAAATTAATATGCGTGGCACGTTGTGTAAAATAATATTTTTTTTTTCAACAAGATCGTAGAAACGAACGTGTTAATTAACATAATATCACATAAAGTTTCTAAGTATCGTTTGACTTTCTTCCTTTGATTTATTATTGCATATATATATATATATATATTCGCAGAGAATTTTCAAGACGAAGAAAAGCAACAAACGTATGTTCTACCAGAAAGATTATCTTCTTTGATGCATAATACAGGATTTTCGAAGGAAGAAATACAGAGATTATATCGTGCATTTAAACAGTATTGTCCAAGAGGAACTGTTACTACCAATGATATTAAACCGGCCTATGCTAAACTTTTTCCGCTTGGTGATTCTGCAAAATATGCACAGATGGTATTCAATAATTTTGACACAAATAAGGACGGCATTGTCACATTTGGAGATTTGCTTCTAGGAATAGCTACGATCGTCAAAGGAACTAATGATGAAAAACTAAAATGGATATTTCAGTAAAAAACCTACAATTTCTTACAAGATCGAGAAATTTCAATTAAACGCGTTTAAAATAACTTCGATTTTTACCAACTTGTCTAGATTTTATGATTTAAATGGAGACGGTTGTATCTCAAAAAACGAAATGACGACGACAATATCAGCTATTTATGAAATGATAAACAACGATCAAACTGTCTGGAATATGGTAAACAATCACGTGGATAAACTTTTTGAAAAGATGGATATTAATAAGGATGGAATGATATCCATAGAGGAATTTATAGCCAGTTGCAAAAATGTATAGTTAGATTAGATTTTTTAATTACATTATTTATAATATCATCATTTTTTTCTTATTGCAAAATCTTATGATAATAATCCTAACAAATGGTAAAAAAGACATTTAAGATTAGTATTATTAAATAAACATTGTCTTTCTATTTTATTCATTACAGGATACGCTTATCCAGAATCAATTGACAGAATTTAATCATTTTTGGTGGTAATATAGACTGAAAAACAATGTTCATAGTTCGAATATTCTTTATAAATTTAGTACAAATATACTATACACTTTGACTGTCTATTTTTTAGTTAATTAGTTCGTAAATATATAATTTGATTCAATAATAAATAATAATTACGAGAAAATATCTCGTTATAAAAAGTTAATCAATTTGTCTTTTCATAGATCATATGATCGTATTTCATCATTACATTATAAATACAAAAGGAATAGATTTGGAATAGTGTTATACATTGGTATAACTTGTGTACAACTTATTTGTATATTTAAAAGAGCCTTTTTTGTAAAATATAAAAGACGCAAGCAAGGAAGAAAGCAAATGCTAAAAAAAGTACTACTTTATCGGTAACCTCACGTCTACCATATTTTCCTAACAATTTTCCAGATTGCACTATTATTTGCTGTTGATGATCCAATTCATTTTTAGTTCCAGACACTTTATCCGAAGATATTACTAAAACAAAAAACAATGAATTACTACAAGCTCGTTCTCTATATTAGGAGATATAAATTAAATGATTTGTAATTATATTCGTACAGAGTGTGTCTAAAGTGTCTCCACTTTTCTGAGTTGTTTCAGCTAAGTGTCTGGAAATGCTTAATAGTTTATCTGTTACTTGATTAGATGCACTCGCTAAACCCTGCTTATCCCTTCTTCTACGAAGAGCGTTTTGTTGTTCTTCAGATATCGAAAGTAAATCCTCTCTTGACAATTTATCTATAACACATGCACTAATAACATTGGCTTTGCGAAATGATTTAAGAGATGAAGTTAACTGGCACTTATATGTTTCAATTTCTGCTAGCAATTCTGTTCTTTCCTTTTCGTCGACTTTGATTTCGGCTAAAGAACTTAACTTTTCTATACTGGATTTTAATGCTGTAATTTTTTCCCTTCCTTCTGTATTAAGTTCATTAAGTAATTCTAAAGGTCCACTACATTGTTGTATATCCTAGAAATTAGATTTTTTTTCTAATAAAGGTATTTTAAACCAAGAATTGAGGTTATCTTTACTGAAACTATTTAGTAACAATAAATTTATTAATTTACTTGTATTAATGCAGTAAATTGCAGATGATTTTTAATTATTTCCTGTCGTATTAATTCCGCATTATTATTAATATCCATCGTATTATGTACCTTTAATTTATGGTTATCCTGTTTACGTATAAGATCCACTAACTATTTGTAAGCACTTGGAATTACCGACAGAAGGAAAAATCTACACTTACCTACTGGTACTTATATATCAGTTAAATCAGCAATAATTGAAAAAATTAATAACAAAATTTTAATAATTAGAAAGAATAATTGAAACATATTCCAATTAAAATTGAATAAAAAAATCAACTAATACTAATTATATATCAATAAAGTGGGTAAATGGTAGAACCACAAATTTCTAAACTAGTGTATGAAATTAAACTACTTTTTTCCCTAAACCAGTTTTAAGTTACTTATTCTGTAAATGTTAAAATAGAATACCCAAAAAATAAACAATTCTGTATATAAAACAAATCATATAAAAAAGCAGAATAAAATTACAATAGGATCTTTAAGATTCAAAACAGATATTTTCATTGATTAAACATATTGTTAACAAAGATATTCAAAATCATTGTTACATTTCAAGAAATATTTGATGTTATATTTTTAATAGGATTGTAAATAATTATAATTAATTTTTAGCGTATAAACATGTATTGTGTTAATAAACGTGTGTGCCTTCAGAAATGCATTCATATATTACATTACGAGCTCTAATAGAAGAAAATCAAAACAAGTAGATGATAAATCTAAAAAAAAAATAAAAAAAAAAAAAAGGAAAAGTACAAGTATTAAATTACTAACAAAAATAATATCTATTAATTATTATAAACTACTTTTAAACTGTATTCTACAGAAAAGAAAAATTGCAAATTTAAAAAAATACGATCGTAGTGAAAACTCTTAAAAACAAAACAAGAAAAGAGAAATTAATGTAATATTTACCGAACGTTATTTAAGCTTCAAAATTTAATAATACGAAAATTTTAATATTTTTGACTCTAACCAAACACATATGCAACTTTTTTGACGATTTTAAGGGACACGAATTTGGTGTCCCAAGGAGATGGAATGGTCCATCATCTCCAATTACAACTACAAATTAATGACGAGCAAGATTGTAATATAATAAAATATAAAATATAAGTAGAGAGCTATTCTCGAAAAGTTCGAACTTGCTGTTGAACATTTGAAAATAACTCAATAGTCTATGTAGTTGCCCACTTGATACCACAAATTTGTGGGGGCCTCTTCGGCCTTAGCCTCTTCGGCATAATGCCTCTTCTTTCTTCATGCCCTAAACTCTGCTGCGAGGCTTTTTCTAAGCGCATTTTACAATACAAATCGTACGGTTACATTTACTCGAATGCCTCAACAGATATTTGATCTAATCGATGAACCTATTATTAACACTTTGCATTTAAAAAATTAAATAATATCAAACAAAAACAAAAACTTTGTCATACATCTTATGGTCTTACTTTTTTACTCGACCACTCTTATCTTTTATCTTTACTATACTTTGTATTATTATTTAAAATTCTATTACAATATTAATATAACTGTAGTACTATATATACTATCATACATAGTAACACAATAGATAAGCCTGTATGTCTACAAACATAGCCGGCTCGAAGTGATACATAGAGTGGCGCGGAAAGAACTTATGGGACAATTTAATATTGTACCTACTATCGCTTGCTAGTAGTCCCAGTAGTAACAAAAATAAAACTGGATAGATAAAAAAGGAGACTTGTAAGTTTCTATGTTCTTCTTTATCCATTGGAATATTTTTCAAAGGCACTGTATTTACAATAGAGTGCGCTTCTGCATATCCCCGGAACTAAGTAAACGAACGTAAGTTAACCTGCTGAATAAAGCTAAATGATAAAAGTGCAAATATTTAGATATTTTTGTGCTTTTTTATAGAAAAAATACGTAAAAATTAATACAATTTATACTTTTATTTATCTTTTGTGTGATAATATACATATTTAATCTGTAAGTTTTGCCAAGATAAGTATTTTTTTAATGGAAAGTAAGATTGCACGTGAATAAATTAAAACAATGCTTATTTATAATTTATTTTGACATACACATTTGATAAAATAATAAAAGTATTATTTTTTATTAGATCTTTCAGACATCAAAATAAAAAATATCTTTATTATATTAATTGTAGATACTTAATATGTCTGAAACGGATAATAATATTGGGCAAGAAATGGAGACACCTACTGAGCCTGATGCAGTCTCAGAAGAAGACAAACAGTTTTTACTGGACTATGTAAAAGAAACTGAACAAAGATTAACGAATAAAGAAGAAATTAGGGCTGCTAATTTGAATCCTACAAGACCACCAGATACATATTTCAGTAAATTGGACTCGAGTCTTAAAAGAAATACAACATTTGTTAAGAAACTTAAAAGTTTTAGCGTAAACCAGTTGGATGCAGTTCTAAAAGATATGGCTAATTTAAATTTGACAAAGTATGTTAGCGAAGTTGCTACCGCATTGGTCGATGCTAAGTTGAAAATGACTGATATATCATCGGCAATTAAAGCTTGTAGTTTTTTACATCAGACGTATGCAGAGTTTTCATCTCACTTCTTTGAAAACTGGCAAAGAATATTGTCCTTAAAAATTGGAGAAAAAATTGCTAATCCAAGTAAACTAAGAGTGGATTTACGATTTTACGCAGAACTTGTAAATGCTGGGATTTTTACGCACAAGCAAGGCTTACCGCTTCTTGGTTCTGTATTAACTGTTTTAATTAATATGGATAAAGAGGAACACAACAATGCGAGCATTATATTAAGTTTTTGTCGTCATTGCGGAGAAGATTACGCAGGTCTTGTTCCTAGAAGGGTAAGAGAATTATCGGAAAAATTAAATATTACAATACCAAAAAGCAAATTACTTTCTCCCGACAAGCAACAAAATGTAAGATATTTACTACGAGATTATTACAATTCATTGTGTAAGCATTTACTGAAAGAACACAAAGAGCTTCAAGCATTTGAAAAACAAAATCGTAAGATTTTACAAACTAGAGGTGAATTGAGTGCAGAAAGGAAAGAGAAATTAGAATCTCTTCAAGTATCTTATGACCGTCTTCTTAGTGGGGTACAAAGTTATTCCGATACATTAGATGAACCAATACCTGAACTTCCTGTAGATGTAGAAATAAAGGCAGAAGCTGAGGAAACATTAAAAATGATTAACGAAGGAGAAGAAAATAGTATTCTAGAAGATATGTGGGGAGACGATGAAACAAGGCGATTTTATGAAGTTCTACCTGACTTAGTAGTATTTTTACCTGGATCGTATCCAAAAGAAGTACCAAAATCTGACGCTCCTATTACAGAAGAAACTTTAGACGAAGACATAACGTTTGATGAATTAGAAGAGACTGAAAAAGTAGATGAACCAGAAGTAGAAACAGAGGAACCTCAAGTTTCCAACATAAGTAATAAAATATTATTAGATGCATTTCTTAGTCATTTGCCAAATTGTGTCAATCGCGAAATGATTGACAATGCAGCAGTTGATTTTCTCATAAATTTGAATTCAAAGCATAATAAAAAGAAACTAGTAAAAGCATTATTTGGTGTTTCTAGAATACGTTTAGATTTATTGCCATTCTATTCTCGTTTAGCTGCAATTCTATATCATGTAATGCCCGAAGTAGCTAATGATTTATGTTTAATGTTAAAACATGATTTCAAATATCATGTTAGAAAAAAGGATCAAATTAATATTGAATCAAAGATAAAAGTAGTACGTTATATAGGCGAACTTGTCAAATTTAAACTTTATTCAAAAATAGAAGCATTATATTGTCTTAAGGTATTGCTGCATGATTTTACTCACCATCACATTGAGATGGCATGCAACTTGTTGGAAACTTGTGGAAGATATCTTTTCTGTTCTCCTGACTCTCATCAAAGAACAAAGGTCTATTTAGAACAGATGATGCGTAAAAAGGCTGTTACTGCATTAGATTCCCGTTACGTAACAATAATTGAAAATGCATATTACTTTGTAAATCCTCCTGAATCAACTGGGGGAGTGTCTAAAAAAGATAGACCTCCTATCCACGAATTCATCAGAAAGCTTCTATATCAAGATCTTTCTAAAACAAATACAGATAAGGTACTTAAATGGATGCGCAAGTTAGACTGGGAGGATGAAAGTGTATCATCGTATGCTATAAAATGTCTTACTGCTGCGTACAATGTAAAATATTTAAATATTCGATGTGTTGGAAGTTTATTAGCTGGATTAGTAGCTCATTATGAAACAATAGGTCCTCACGTGGTAGATGGTGTATTAGAAGACATAAGACTGTGTATGGAAATTAATTTACCTAAATTCAATCAACGTCGTATTGCCATGGTTAAGTATCTTGGAGAATTGTATAATTATCGTATGGTCGAGAGTGGTGATATTTTTAGAACTTTATATCTATTAATCACATTTGGTATCAACATGGATCATTCCATTCCAAGTATTCTTGATCCACCCGAACACTTATTTAGAATTAGATTGGTATGTACACTTTTAGAAACCTGTGGACAATACTTTAGTGGAGGTTCGAGTAAGAAAAAGCTCGATTACTTTTTGATATTCTTTCAAAATTATTATTGGTTCAAGTATACAGATCCTGTATGGACTCCTGAAAATCCTTTCCCAGTAGGAATAGATTATATGTATCGAGATACATTGACCATGCTCAGGCCAAAAATGCCACTTTTTAACAGCTTTAAAGAAGCTCAATGTGCTGTTCAAGAATTAAAGAACATATTGTATCCAACTTTAGGAAGTATAACAACCGCAGAAGATGTTGAGCATAACGAAGGAGATTCTGAAATGAGTGTAATCATAGAAGGAGATGAAGACTTATCTATGACACCTGGAAACGGAGGTGGCGATGCAAAAGGAATAGGAGATTTACATTTTGAAGAATCCGAAGACTGTTCAGAAGCACAATCCGAAGAAGATTGGACAGCAGAAGCAGAAAGAGATGCAGGAACTCAAGAAAATACTCAAGGAGAACAAAGTTTATCGGAAGGTGCTACTGAAGGAGTTATAATGGATGGTACAGAATTAAATGCTGCTCTACCAGCAGGTCCCAAAAAAATGACCTGCCCAGAAGACGATGATTTTCTTTCTGCGCTTGACAAAATGGTATCTGATAATATACAGGATAGAATGCGCGATGCTGTTAAACCACAACAAGTTGATATATCTGTACCATTGCATATTAAAAGTACAAAAAAAACATACGAACAATTGCAAGTACAATCATCTGACAATTCTATGGTGGACTTCACGCTTATGCTTAGAAAGGGTAATAAACAGCAATATAAAAATTTAGCTGTACCAGTATCCTCAGAATTAGCTATGAATCTTAGAAATCGTGAACAAGAACAAAAAGAGGAGAAGGAACGTGTAAAAAGATTAACTCTTAATATAACAGAGAGACAAGAAGAGGAAGATTATCAAGAAACTATTAATCAAGGCACACGGCCAGTAACAGTTAATTTAAATAGAGAACGACGACAAAAATATAATCATCCTAAAGGTGCACCCGATGCTGATCTTATATTTGGACCAAAAAAAATTCGGTAAATTTGTACAAAGTTTTCTACTATTCTGAAAAATAATGATTTCAAACTTTACGAGTGCCGTGTAATCTCATTCTTTGAAATTTCGATCGATGTAAAACAGTGCAATTGTTCTTTTACTTTTAATTAAAGATAAGATATGTATTGATTAGATCTTTCCTTGATTTTGTTAATAGCTTTAAGAGTAGTATTATTGAATAAATTATGAATGGGTATAAGATTGCATGAAAAATGTCATCATGTTAGAAACTATTACAATCGAGTGTGTCAAATTCTAATACATTTGAAATAATACTTCTCCAAATACTTCCATGTATTACTTATGATTAATCTTATTTTCTAATATTTCATATAATGTGCACATCATGGCTAAGAACTCTTATGCACAAATAAATATTTCTATAAAAATTGTCGATGTGCAAAATGCGTCTTTTTCATTATAAATAAACCTTAAAATTTAACTATCTGTGCATATAAAAGAATGATCAATTATATGTAATGTAGTCCTATTTATTTTTTACCTAAGAAATTATCACCATGTACAAAATGAATATAAATAAATGTTAGGTGCTTTTTCGTTCGACGCAGTTTTGTCTTATAGCTTGCAATAATAGATATTACATATCTACCGAAATATATGAAATTGATAATCATATAAAGTAATACTAAATGCACATCAGCATATATTTTTATAATTTTAATTTATGGATCCTCTTCTGCATCTTCAAACTGACCTGCTTCAATATCCATTGGTTCATCTGCTTCGGTACCATTTTGATGATTACCTCCTATTTGTTCTATAGAAAATAAATTATTAATAAAATGTTTAAGGAAATTCATAACAATACTGTCAAATATTAAATAGTTTACCAGTTGGTAATATGTACGGAGCATCACCAGCACCAACTTCGTAATACTCAATATCAAAATCATCTTCTTCTGCATCTTCATAAATATCTTCTTCATCTTTAAACATACACATTTGAAATATATTACTTATTCTACCAATAAACCAAGAAAGCATATTTCATAGATATCGATTACCATCAGAAAAACTATCTTGTGGATCTGGATGAAGAGCTTGACATTGATTCATTGCTTCAAACATTGCTTCCAGATTAGTCGTATCATCAGGTACAAAACTCATCTCAGTCGTAGGCGTATCTCCTTCGTCGTCTTCATTATCTGAGTCATTTTCAGTGGATGGTGACAATTGCACATCTGCAAACGAATCAATTTTAATGATGCACCTACTTTTTATTATACTATTTTTAACTCTTCACAGACAAACATATATATTTAGCGCACATATATATTTAGAATATAATTTTTAATTTTTATTAAAACGTACCTGAAAAATCTTCCACCATAATGTATAAACATTGCCTAGGATGAATTTGTTGATCTTGGGAGATAGCATGTACGGAAATATGCTGATAATTGAGAGAAAACCCTTGTTGTGTCTCGCTGTCTATCCAGGATAGTACACTGTCGATGTAAATTTATATTAGAAATATGTATATCAATAGTAAATGTATTTGAATACCTTTCTGTAATATAGAGAGTGCCTTTTCCCACTTCCCTAGAGTTAACGTATACAGTGGTGTTTGGTTCTTCATGACGGATGCCTTCCTGTGGTGCTAGGAAGCTGCTAAGCACTACCATTTTTTCACCTGTAATGTTCGTATATACGTGTTCTTTGATTGAGGAATATTAGAATTTAGATTCTAAAACACTTTCAAAACAGATATCACGAGAAAATCGTAATAGAACGTGAGTAAGATTCAAACCTATGTAACATTTGAGGTTATACTACATCTATGAGAGTAATGTAAATAAATGATTCATTTGAATCTCCGAAGTATAATTTATCAGAGACTATTGGTATATGTTTTTTCAACGGTGTATGTCCATAAAAAACTTGAATTAGTTTAATACCGGGATTTTTAAGGGTGATTTTATACAAACGCCGCCGATAAATATACAGTTACGCGTTAAATAGGACTTGAGCTCGACAAATCTATATTTAACAAAGATTCTTAATTGCCAAAAATTATTGGCATTAAGTTCTTTGCAAATACTAATATTTACTCACAGCTCTTGCCTTATATTTTTTACACTACTCTATTGTAAACACGACACACGATGTACAAATTTTTACGACTTGAATCTATGCGAATTCTCTGTACTAAAAGACGCTGATTGTCCATTCAGTTTCCTAACTTCAGATCATTTCAATTTCACTGTAAGTCAGACCTATAGTACGTTTCTTCTCATTCGATTAAATTCGAGGTTTTACGCGCTAAAAATTCGATTATTTACAAATGTGATAGAGAGTAATAACTTTTTTTCTAAAATTACACTTTGTTTTTATTCACACTAATTAGAATAAAAAAATGATGTCTTCAAATGTTTAATTAAAATTATATTTGGCAAATGAGTCTGTTGAAAATGAAATATTTATTGTTTTTAATTCTTTTATCAATTTGAATAAGAAAATTTTATTAATTTATTTAAAAATTACAATAATGCAATTATTTAAATTTAAAACAATAAAAGAATAATATTAGAAATATTAGAAAAAAAACTTTAGAATGCCGTCTGAAAATGTTTTATTAAGATTACATATGGCAAGCGAGGCTTTTGTTTCCAATTCCTCGGACTGAAAATTCATCTTTGTAACAGTTTTACGTACATACATACATACTGCCAATAGAATACAAAGTGTTTTCGCAGTTTTCCTTTATTTAATTCGCTACTTCAAATAATCTCGGAGATGTCACCTCGACACGTTCAAACTCTTGTCCAGATATCTCTCTCTCTCTCTCTCTCTCTCTTGTGCGAATTATTTGTTAATCTTATAAATCTGTACTATGCGAATACTACGCTTTGAACAATAACCTGGACTGAGCAACATAGTTATTATAGTATTTCCTTTAGGACGATACCTCTTTGAATGATGAAATGCAATGCTACTTATTTCTATCACGATGTTAAAGAAATAAAAATAGGAAATACCTTTTCAAAAATGTTTTTCTTAAACAATGTTAAATAAAATTTGTTCTATGGCAATATATCAAAAATAAAAACTAAAAATTAAAAACTAAAAACTAATAACTAAAAAAAAAAAAAAAAAAAAAAAAAAAAAAAAAAAAAAAAAAAAAAAAAAAAAAAAAAAATAGAAAATAACAAGAATTAAATAAATAAAAATATTTGTTACAAATTAATAGCAAAAATAATCAAAATTGTGCGTTATAAAAGAGAATACTATAATGCGTTATACCCAGTAGTGCATTTTATGTTTGATTATAAATGGCATCGCGTATCTCTTGAATCAATGAGATTCCTGAGCACTTGAGATTCACTCGCGAATGTTTTAAAGCAAATTTCTATACAATAGAACAATATGGATATAATTTATAATAGAATTAAATAGCTATGCTACATAATGGATCATGACTAAATAGTACTAATGTTAATTGTGCATGTTTCATAAGTCGTGTCCATGGGTAACTGTATTTTTTTTTTTGTTACTGTTTCAAAGGGCACAAGTTCCAAAAAGAGACAATGCACAACACGTAACATGTCAGTCGATAACATTCTTGATATGTTTTATATTTTTAAATATAGTAAATATTATCTCCAAGTAAGTAATGCAATATTACCAATATTAATAGTAATAATAATAGAAGCAGTAGTAATTATAGCAGTATTAGTAACAGCAATAGGAGATATTAGTATTTGGAAGGTAGTTGTAACAATGGTAATGACAGTGATCATAGCAATAGTAACAATCTAGTGTTTGTAATAATGCTCGTCATTAATCAATTGGATGCTGATAGTTGGGAGGTGTTGTTGAAATGTAATAGTATGATAGAATTCGAGTGATTCACGTGGTGATGTCGTGTTAGTAACAATTAGTTTAAAGCACAGATCATTACATACACCACTTTATGGAAAAAAGGGGTGGGATTTAGAGAAACGTTTTTAGTTTAATTTAACGACACAGTTGAATAATAAATAACAAAATGGCATATCCCGTTAAGATACACTAAATAATATTCGAGAGAAACATCAAGTATAATATCTTTATCAAATTCAAGCATCTTCAGTTTATGCTCGTTTAAAAACAAACAAATATTTATGTATATATATAAAAAAGAAGAAAACATTCAAGTATGCATACACAGTATGTATGCATACATGTAAATATGATTAGTAAGAAGAGTTAGAAGAAATGTTTTTATGTACAATTAGAATAGTCATAGAGCAGTAACAACAATAATAAGTAACATCAAAAAGATGATGCTTTTCGCTAACTAAGCTCGAAATAAATATCTAAAAAGCAAGCCATTCGCTTGTTGTCAAACCGTTTATAATTCGAGACAATGTCTTTCATCTTGTCCTAATGTTAAAAAAAAATCTTATTCACCGCATATTCTCCCCTTTGGAACTTCACCCTTTGTATCATTTTTATGTCATTCATTCGCACATTTCTCTTATACCGTAGATACAAAAGTCCTAAGAACAGTGCTCTTAGGTATTCTACAAACAAACTTAAGTTTGCAAGGTATTCGTAATTTCTCGATGCACGGTTACCAAGTCTTGTATAAATCCAGCTAATCTGGCATTCAAAGTTTCCAAGTTTTGTTTCTGAACTTTATTCGCACATAAAGCAAGTTCTAATTGTTCTTGGACAACGTTTAACATATCACGCAATTCGGTATTCTCTTTTTGAAGAGCCTGAAAAATGAAATATTAAATAATATCAATGAAATGAAATAAATTGTTGTCAAAAATATTAGCACATTACATACCACAAAATCTTTGTTTTTTGCAGCCATAGTAAGAGCCTTTACTTCATCATTTCGACTTCTTAATTCACTTTCCAGTGCCTCCACTCTTAGCCTCAATGCTTCACTATTCCCTTCTGCTATTTTTCCAGCTTCCAACTCTGCATATTTTGTTTTTACCCTGGCATTTTCTTCTTTATATAACTGTAATTGTCTCTTCCACTCATCCACATTAGCTGTTGATTCTTGGAGCGCGCTTGTTAATCTAGCGTTGTTTGTTTTAAGAGTAGCCAATTCAACCTGTAATTCATGTCACATTATAAAAAGGATGGAAAATTGCATTTATTTAAATGTATTTACATTCCTATTATTCTTTTATCCTGTGCATATGCATGCTCTGATGTAACCAGAATTAGTATTGAGCATGTAGGAGCATATTGTGCTACAAACATACCTCCCATTTTTTGGCATTAGCAGAACTTTGAGCTAAAGCAAGCTTCAACCTGTCATTTTCATATTTCAGCTGCATCTCTGCCGACTGTCCTGCTTGCGTCGAACCAAGTTGGATTGATTTCCCTTGGTGCTGTGGGCTTTCTGTATTCTGCTGAGAAACACTTTGTGATCTTGAATGGACTGCATTTTTCAATTCATCGTCCGTTTTATTTTGACAACTGCCAGGTAAGGGACTGCTGCTTACCAAAGATACACTGTTTTGAGCAGAGATCATGTTTGCATTTGGATTAGGATTATTCGATGCCGACACATTAGAGTTGATCATCGAAGAATTTGGTGGATCTATAAGATCCTGCTCCGAAGAAGGCATCCCTGATCTCGATGTAATTGGACTAACATTTGCACTAGTGGCTGGCGTGACCGACGAGCTGTTTGATTGTAGCTTAGCATTCGCTAATTTAGTCGCTTCTTTCACTTCATGAAATTTTTCAATAAACTGTCAAAGTAAAATTGAACCGAGTGTATTCTCATGAAATGTTTAAAAGAATAAAAGTTGCGTAGACAGACGTAATACAAACCTTGCCTAACTCTGCTTCAGAGGAGAATCCTAAACCATATACAGTATTAGCCCTGACATCAGACCATTGACCAAATTTTTGTGAGGTTTTTGTAAATGTCATGTTTGGTGTAATAGTGCTGTTTATTACTGCCTAAAAGTATAGAGTTAAAAAAGAATACATATAATTTTCATAAAAGATACTATACACATTTGCACGCTAAATTGAAAACAAGAATCACCTTAGATCCTTCTACAGATATTATTCTATAAAGGCTTCTAGTCGAATCATAAAAAAAAGAGACAGAAACTGCAGCTGTCGAGGCAGATACCCATGAACGTTTAGTTTTAGGATCGATATGAAATACGTGCGCCTTGCACGAGAAAATTGGTTGTTCGCTGCAATTAATAATGGAAGGTTAGAATATAAATAATATTTATAAGATCCATGTGTGTACGCATATCCCAATTTGGATCAACAGTAATAATAAATATGTATCTTCATTTGGAATTTTCACATTGCTAAGTTTTTCTTTCAAAGCAGTTCTTGTTGCTGTTTGTGCAGATGTTCCATTGTGCAAGAAGATAAAACAATTATTGTTTGGTTAGAAATAAGAAAATAAATTTGTTTTGACAAATTGAGAAAAGTAGAAGATCCAGTTTAAATTTGAACAGGTTCGATATCATTCCGGAGGAAGTTCAGGAAATAAGTGTAAAATAAAATCATATCGTTAAGAATTCTCTTACAAAAGATAACTATATTTCTGATATAGATTTTGCTATTGCTACAAACAATACATGCAGTTTGTACAATTTAAATGCAAACAAGCATCGAGGAATCAAAATAACAATTTTGCTATTAATGATTCTATTTTATAATTAACAATAAAATTATAATATTTAGCACAACAAAAATTAAAAATTAGTTAACTATGTAAGAATGTGCATGCCTATTCATGCGAATAAATAGAAACATAATCGCATTATATGGTTCATCTGAAAAGAAAAAAAGATATATCACACATTTATCACCATAAATATATATGTGTACATATATATATTATATTATATATATATATATATGTATATGTATATATGCATTATAATTTTAAAATCGATAAGAAGATATTAATAATAAATAATTTGTGATATAAAAAGAGATAGATAAGATAATAACGAACAACAAATAAGAAATTGGTAAAATGGGGAGAGCTTATTGGTTGTTGAATAAAATATAGTAAAAAAAGAAAAAAAGAAATGACACAGTGTGTGCGTGTTATTGTTTATATCATACAAAACTTTTACATGACTTTTTCTAAGAAAGTCAGTTTATTTTTTTTTTTTTTTACGATAAGGCTGCTCTACAAAATAAACAATTTGCTTTTTTTATTTTTTTTTCTATTTTTTACGGGAAGAGGTCATGTATATCAAATTTGGCTAGCCCGCTAGAGAGTTAGATAAAGGCCACACTGAAAAAAAAAGAAGAGGAAAAATAAGAAAGGTTATTCTCGTACAGTCCATTTTCGTATGTACAAGTCGTCATTTAATGCGTATCAGTGATCAAGTTAGCGCTACGAAATATGGTGGATGAGATTTAACCAGAATGACCTATTTTATATAGATTGATAGAGAGTCGACTGATTAATAAATCGACAACAATTAATCCGAATGTACGACGTCAAAATTGATTTTTGTATGTAGAGACACATTACACACCCTTGAGAGGCGGCGCGACTTCTCACCGTATTCACTTACCCCATTATTTCTTTACTCGTTAACGTGCAAATAAGAGTTACTCCAATAAATATTACTAATCCAATAAAGTTTCCAAGAGAAGGGATCGTTGAATATTCTGATATTTGACTAGGAACCCCTGTTCGAAAAGCAGAGACCCACCAGTTGACAGCCGCCATCGGCCAAATTCTATAGCTAGTGCCAATGGTTACGCGATATCATGAAAGTAGACGAACTTTAACGACACCTGGATTTCATCGATTTTCTACTAAAAACCTTCAACGTCCACTGTGTATTTATCAATTGGATTTATTTTATCCTAGTGCAAGTTAAATCACCGCGAAACGTTTTTAACCAATCACAAACCTTATCGGTTATCCATTCTTTCTTAACGCAAATCGAGAAAACAAAAGACGATGAAATTTCATTGGTTCGATTAATTTATTCTAACTAAATTAATTCAATTTATAACTCGTATTTCCCCAAATATTATTTCAAATGTATTTTATTTAATTGCACGAATCATCAATGATTAATATAATAAATAACAATACAAATTAATTAAAGAAAAATCAAACTAAATCGTTCGTGGCGCTCTATGCGATAAATCGAGATATCTCGATATCATTTTCTCCTCTCTGATTGGCGGATGAGAAAACGATTATACTGAGGTTAGATCATTCGCGGTTTTTTCTTTCTTACAATCTTACTGATAAAAAAAGGGTTTCATATATTCGTAAGAGATTAACGAAGATTCAACGATGCGTCGAATAAACTTGGAAATAAATTAATCTCGGATCTTCGTTGAAGTTGGCAACAGTCGTAAGGGATAACTATTGGTGCGCAAGTGTTATATGCGCCGTATACAACATCGACTCTAGAAAGGGTTTTCGCATTATACTCTTTCGCGTAGCGTCGATTGTGCCTTTAGAAAAAAAGGGGGTTGGAAGGGAGGTGGTAAAGGAAAAGAGAGATCGTCTGGAGCGATAGGAGGTTTTGTTTCTTCACAGAGCGACGAGCGCTTTGCTCTCAAAGAGAGGAAAGAGGGAGAAAAGGGGTATAGAGATAGAGAAGGATAGAAAGAGAGAGAGAGAGAGAGAGAGAGAGACAATGAAAGTGCGGCACGTTGAGTGGGTGTCGGGTTGGAGGGGGGATTACCATGAGAGAAAGAGGAGGTAGTGGTGTTATTAGAGAGTAGGAGAAGTTGCGCGCGCGAGATTGATAGAGGAAAAGAGAGAGAGAGAGAGAGAGAGAGTGAGTGAGTAAGTGAGAGAGAGAGAGAGAGAGGTAGAGAAAGGTACATAAAGGTACATAAAGAAAAAGAGAGTGAGAGAGTGAACGACAAGCAAGAGAAGAAACGCGGTCGCAAAAGAATAGTGAGAAAGATAGAGATAGAGAAAGAGAAAGAGAAAGAAAGAGAAAGGGCAGCAGGAGGGCAAAAGTCGTTCGTTTCGCGAGCGTGTCATGGCCGCATCATCGTTGCGAGAGAAAGAGAGACTGGTAGCGTGCGCGTCGTAAGGAGAACGTGAGAAAGACAGAGATAGAAATATATAGATAGATAGAGGGAGAGAGAGAGAGAGAGAGAGAGAACGTGCGTGAACGAAGAAAGAGAGATAGAATAAAGAGAGGGAGTATAAATCTGGAGATAATAAAATGACGGTGCGTTCGAGCGAGTAGGCGCGAAAACGGTAGTGCGCGCTAAGAAATCGGGTGCGTGTGTGTCCGGTTAGGACGAGAGAAATATAAAGAAATAAAGAAAGAAAGAGTGAGTGAGTGAGTGAGTGAGTAATAATCGTGTACGTGTGTTGTGTGTATGTGTACGTTGGAAGTGTGTGTGAGAGAGAGAGAGAGAGAGAGAGAAAAGTAATCGACGACGTGTGTTTTCCCGATGCGGAAGCTCGTCCGAGGATACGCGGATAGAGGGTGCTTTCGCGTGTGATTAAGAAAAATACAAAAAAAAAAGAAAAGAAAAAAAAAAAAAAAAANAAAAAAAAAAAAAAAAAATAAAGAAAGAAAGAAAGGAAAAAGAGAAGGAAAAGAAAAGAAAGAAGAAAAGAAAAGAAAGAAACGAAAAGAAACAGTACTCTCTCTCTCTCTCCTTTCTTATCGCGATTAAATAACGATGAACAACTTCAACTTCAGTGAATTGTGTTGCCTGTTTTGCTGTCCGCCCTGCCCATCAAGAATCGCCGCTAAGCTAGCGTTCCTACCTCCTGAACCGACTTACACGTTCATCGAGGACGAGGGTTCCTCGAAGTTTACGATATCTTTATCGGAACGCGCCGAGTGGCAATACAACGAGAGAGAACTGGAATCCGTTGAAGGTTTTTACGCGAGAACGTCTAGGGGAAATCGTATAGCATGTGTATTCGTACGTTGTTCGGCAACGGCACGATTCACATTATTATTCTCCCACGGGAACGCCGTAGATCTTGGCCAGATGTCTAGCGTCTATCTTGGATTAGGATCAAGGATTAATTGCAATATATTCAGTTACGATTATTCGGGATACGGATTATCTAATGGTAAACCATCGGAGAAGAACCTTTATGCCGATATAAACGCTGCTTGGCATGCTTTAAGAACGCGATACGGTATCAGCCCGGAAAATATTATTCTTTATGGTCAAAGTATCGGTACCGTGCCCACCGTCGATCTTGCTACAAGATACGAGGTTGGCGCGGTCGTTCTGCATTCGCCGCTGATGTCCGGCATGCGTGTTGCATTTGGAAGTACTAAGAGAACTTGGTTCTTCGACGCCTTTGCCAAGTAAGATTTTCTACTTTCTTTTTCTCATTTTTACTTTCCTTTCTTTTCACTTCTACCTCTATCTTTGTCTCTCTATATCTCTGTGTATCTTTCTCTATCTCTTTCTCTTTCTCTCTCTTTTTCTCTCGTTCTCGTTTACAAGAGACACGTTCTACATCTTAACGATGACGCATCTTTCTTACGTGTCCACCTACTCCCGCAACTAATTCGTAATAGTCATACGTTTGCCACAAAAAAAATATATTTCTATGTATTAGCTTTCATTTCGATATGATACGTCCAGACGCGACATGCGCGTGAGACAGAAATGCAATACATAAAAACAGAGAGAGAGAGAGAGAGATACGGAGATAGATAGATGGATAGACAGATTGAGAGATAGAGAGAGATAGAAACATAGATCTATGTTGACATACACGTGCTTTTTACTGGATGTAACAACGATACACGAAAAAAGCCTGTATTATGAGCCTCGCATTATGACGTTCTTTTAAAATCCAATTATTCAACATTTTCGCGTATACGCTTTAAGAAGCAACAAAAGTTTGGTTTACCCGCGTCATGAAAACCTATAAATCGCTCGTTCCTTATCGCAACTCGTTAATTGGTATTAAGTTTTTTTCCACGTATATCGTATGCGTGTCGAATCAAAGATTAACCTTTGTATTTATGCAAAAAAGAAATAAAAATATTTTTCCTTGAATAAGACAATGGGAACACAATGTGTTGTTATTGTAATTGAAATTGTTATAACGCATTGTGTTCTTTGTGAGTTATCATTATTTTAAGATTACTTATCTTTTCTTAACTATGTCTATCTACTTTGGTCTAAATTCATACTTCTAATTTTATTGATTACAGTATAGATAAGATACCCAAAGTAACATCTCCAGTTTTGGTTATTCATGGTACTTCAGACGACGTTATAGATTTTAGTCATGGACAAGCTATCTATGAGAGGTGTCCAAGAGCTGTGGAACCATTGTGGATTGATGTATGTATTTTGTGCATCGAATAAATATGTTATAAGAATATAAGAATGTTTCTCTTTGCATTAGATGCATTCCTAATGTTTTATTTTTCTTTTAGGGAGCCGGTCACAATGACGTAGAACTTTACAACCAATATTATGAACGACTGAAGCAATTTGTAAGCATAGAATTGGTAAACTGACGGCGACTAAGCCTCTCCCAGAGTCAGGGGGGGCAGGGAGGTGGAGATACTCAGGTTAGCAGTCAGAGTCGCAGTACTGCGAATGATTCAAATACCATCAGCTCGATTTCAACTAGTTCTCTGACAGAAAAACTTGTCTAGCAGTCACCTCCCACAGGGGAGAAGGCTCCTGTCCTCCCCTGTGATAAAGAGTCATCTTTTACTTCTGTGGACGATGTGGTCCTCGCCCGTAAATTACCATTTGCTTCATTGGCCGACAGCCAAGAAATTTATTTTAAACAGATCTCAAAGAAAAATCGCTCTAAGAATGTGGAACCGTGTTTGGATGGACATGTTAAGAAACTGAACGTAGATGCCAATTTAAAGAATCCGATGCAGAAAAGTTATTCTACCAGTACAGTGGAAAATGAACAAGGTAAAACCGAATTGGAGAGTGCTAATAGTTGTCACGATGTTAGAACAAATAATACTGGCCTATCTACCAAAAAATTAGCAAGCTTGTCGAAATATTACAAGTATGTGGATGGAAAATTAAAACCAATGCCCTCATTTTCAAATGCTTCTGCAGGTGCTAAGAAAGGAAGTAACGATTTAAAGGATACTACTACTACTACTGCTCATAGTAATGTCAAATCGGACAAAAAGAATCCCTTGTCCCAGTTTTATTACAATGGCGTAGAATCAAATCGTAAACCACGCCTACGTACTTCGATCGTGGAGGGTATTACGAAAGGGAAGAAGATCGACGATAAGGAGGAACGTAATCGCAGTGTTAAGTATCATTGCGAGTCTACTACGAAAAAGTTTTTGTGGAGTGGAAATTTTCATCCTTTAAGAAATCTCGGTAGATCGTCGTTGACTGTAGAACCTGATAAGATCACCATAAGCTCGTCAAAATATTCTCCATGTGCTAGTAGGCTCGCAGCTAGTTCGAAGATATTATCTAATGATTTAGGGGCGAATTCTGATAGTCCCTTGCATGTGCCAAGATCGAGAAGTCCATCCCGATTGGACGTACAACCAGCTGAAAATAATTTGCCGAAGAATCTTGACGAAAGAACGTCGATGCAAGGGAGTTTGTCATTAAATATACAACAATTTTTAAAAACTAAATGTGCACCACGTAGTAAAAGTGTGGACGACAGCTGTGTAACTTCACTGACTAGCGAAGCTACGACGCTTAGTTATTCACCCACTAGTACGGAGGTATTGTCATTAGGAGAGGTCGGTCAGCAAACGTCCTCGGCCGAAGGCTCTGCTAGTTATTCTGAAGTGAAAGAGAAACTGGTCATAGAGTGCTCTGATAAAGTTCAAAGAGCGTCATTAGAAACTAAGTGTTAATAACTACGATACATTTCGCTCATTGCTGTTCCGCCAATTTCTCTCTTCCAAATATGTTTAAAACAAACAGACAAACAAGCAAACAAAAAAAATTATAACGAGAGAGAAGATGCAAATTTTTATTATTCGTTACGACGTATTTTAGGCTATTATATTAACGTCAGTGATATAACGTTAACATACGCGACAACAGCATACTTACACGTTTATAAACTTTACACTCCATTTTTAGGAATGTGAAAAGATTTAGTATGTATGTGTGTGCGCGCGCGCGCGCACCCACCTTTATCGTATTCGTACCTATCAAACTCGTGCATGTTTGTTTGTGTTTGTTTTGTATGTATGCGCGTACGATGATGATGTGTTTAAACGGAATTCCCATGCGATATAACTGCGGAACACATTGATGTTTATAAATATTTCAAGTATTATTATTTCTATTATTATTATTTTCGTTTATTCTCGTTTCTAATCTAATTCTTTTTTTTTTTATAAGCGATTTCGAAGATTTCATCATTATGCATGTATAGTAATGTTTTCTTTTCTTTTCCTTCTACTTTGTTGTTAAAAAAAGCAGAAGAATTTTTTACCATCATTGTGCAATACTTACATTTTTCTTATATTTTCAGTTTTGTATTTTTTTCTTCTTCTTTTTTTTTTTATTTTTTTTTTGAAAGAAAGATAAAAAGGAAAAGAAAATTTATATTATATAATATATACAAATATATATATATATATACTATGCATTTCTGTTAATAGAAATTATGTTCATTACGAAAAGTAATGATAACAACGTTTAACGGTGATACACTCTTTCCGTTTTATCGAATTTCTCTTTTATGTATTTGTTTTCCATCCGTTTCTTTGTTAAAATATATTTTTCTTTTTCTTTTTTAACGACGCAGTTAACATCTACGAACACATATGATACACGAGTATGTAACATTATTGCGTGGATCTAGCTGATTGATCAAAATGTTGTTTGCCAGGAAGTATGGTTCCTGATCTACACTATTGTCATTGCATAATGATAATGCGATAGTATATGAAGCTAGAATCATACTATATATTAATTCATCCAACACATCGTAAAAATAAAATGATACTGTTTTATAAAGAACCACACATGGGTTAGAAAATAATATAAAAGATATTTAATGAAAAAGAAAACTCATAAGATAAAATAATA